GTTATGAGTTCACTTACAAGGTAGACAGGTATCGTTTAAAGATGTTTTTCTTCCAACAAAGAAGGTAAGCGTTCTTATTTTTCTGATTCAGCACGGCGATGCTTTCTATCTGCTGATTTTGATTATAAACAACATCCGCCCGTTCACCTTTAAATCACGTGCTTAAAAGAATGTTACGTGCGGGAATTATTTGATCTTATGATTCGTTTTTACTCGGCTACGCTCCGGAGTCCTGATCAAAAAATCAGCCACGATGGACGCCCATTGAAAAGCGAATGTTTAATGGGAGAGGTGTCTGTTCGTCTCCCTCTCTCAAAGTGTAGCAGCTCTATTAAGTTGATGACAATAAAACTACAAATTTTCTGAATAAGATAGACTGCAACTCTAATTCATCAGGAAATAAGGTGGCTCTGAACCTACATCTTTATCAACAGCTGATCGCAATAGAATTCTAAAAAAAGGACTCATCCTTGATGTTAGAGCTTGATGTTTTACCGATTGACGTAGAACAACGAAATACTAATATTCAAAATAACAGAGCCTAAGGGTAAAATGATGACAATCAAAACAAAACAAAAAAAAATTCCACAGGGTGTTACACCACAGTAGGACCACTTTTTGTTGGAGTCACCAAACCTGTTTTAACTTGCATAAACCCACAGTTATAAAAACTAGTAATGCCTTTTTCCTATGGCAAGCTTTTGGGTCTGGGCTAAGACCCATTGGTGAATGTGGGTGAGCACTTGGGAGATGCCATTGTCAAAGCAACAAACTCAAAATTATGGTTGCAGTTTTTCAACAGACAACAGACAAGAGGTTTTTTAGGCATAAGGAAACAATTTTTAGCCTCTTCAACCTGTTTTGATCTATTACCGAATTCTCAGAAATCTACCTACGGGATATGTGTCATAATTAACTCAAGACAGAATTTGCATAAGCTGGGCAGCTCCAGATAATCTTTGCATGTAAATCAGTAACGAGTGTGGAACTGATATTTTCGAAGTTTAAACCTCGCTCAGCTATACTTGAGGTCATATTGGCCGGCTACCAATGATAGTAATGATCGGTTGCAAATAATTATAATTTTGTCTCCTTCGCTAATTTAACCTCAATCTAAAAGAAATTATTATACGATTCACGCGCTTTTATTGAGGAACTCGCTGTTAACAATTTTTTTCAGTTTCACTGTTGTAAATAGAAAAAGAAAAAACAAATGTTGGTCGGGAATGTCAATAGGATAAGCAAAGCTATCGAACTACCTACAAGTCATTTAACAAATAATATTATGATGTCTTTCAAATCAGGGCTTTCAGACAGCTTTTGGAATTCTTGTCTTGTATGAGGCTCATATATAATTGAGTTTATTTACAAATGCTTTGGTGAGCTCGGCAATTTTCTCGCAGAACCTGACACACCGTTTTGTGGTGGCGCCGGTGATTTGACAAATCGCTTTTTGAAACACTCCCTGGCGTGGATTGGTGGACAACTTTCTCGAACGAAGTAGAGTTTAAAATTTGTTTTTCGCACCTTTACTGGGAGCCCCGTAGAATTTATAAGAAAGAATCTGGAACATTTGGCAACAAGGCCTTGAAATGGCGCAAAGAGTGGATCATTAGTTATGCAGATAAAAAAGAGAAAGGGGAGAACGCCAAGCTTGATTTTTATTAAGTGCTAATTGGCGAATTAACTCTAGGAAAGAAAAATCGAAAAACACATTTTGCATTACCGGCTTACTTACAGTTACTAGCTTGAAATCGTTCATTGCTAATCAGACCGCGTACAATAATCGCATTAAATTAGAAGAAACAGAGAAAAGCAACTGGTTCTTATCTTTTCCATTCTATTTTCAACCAACACGAATCACCCAGTTACATTTTATCTGTTAGGGAAAATTTCCAAATCGTAAAAAAATTTCCTCGGTGCTGTTTACCGAGATGCAAGGAGTTCAAACACAGCCGGGGTTTCTCATATAGTAATGATACGAATTCATTTTATGAGGTGATAAACAGGACTCAGTGCGTGACGTTGAGTAACATTTTACTGAAACAAGATTTGTTCTTTCACAGCTGTGAAAGCAAGAATTCGTGGCCATGACAACATGACTGACATGGCTTACCCAGCTGGGAATAAAATCAAGGTTTTTGATGGTTTGAAATTTATTATCGGTCTAAACAAGATTACGCACTATAAACCCTTTGCATGACTCTAAAACGCAAGAATTTGTCAAAGCGAAAAAAAATGCTTTCGTTAATGTTTTCTACGCTCGTACTTTGCGGAGCTACCGTTTCCGAAGGAAAACGTGAGTTGCAAATCTCTTTAATTTCTAATTACAAAATATTTCACTCAAATGACGAGAATCAGTAAATACAACAATTGATACTCTCTCAGTAAATTAAAATCATTAGTTTTGGAAAACGACCAGTAGGATTCTTAACACAAAATTTTTAACCTGAAATTGAATATCTGGCAGAAATATGGTATAAGATTTAGAGTCGTCACTTACCAACTTAGACTTGACTGAGGTTAGTTTATTGAGCGCGTTTTTCACAAAAAGGCGAAAGCATCTCTCATAAACTGATCGGTTTTTCCTTCAGAATAGACGCTCCCAATGACTTAAATTCCAAAATTTGTCGTGTTAAGAACTGAATTGTATTTTGAATGGCAATGTTTAGAACGGAGGCGTTACAATTAACAAAGTAACCAGTTTTAAAAGGATTGTTTTCTTTACCTCTGTTGCATAATCTAACTTCTGCATGAGAAAAACTTAGTCGTTTACACTGTGAAGAGAACCTTTGTCTTGAAAACCTGTTCCTCAGTTTTCGGCGACTGTAGATCACGCATGAACTAAACAGTCTTTTCCTCGTCGCTTGACAAAGAGTAGACATAAAGCAGCTAGATTTTGATTATTACACGAAGAAAACTCGTTCATTTGAGATGCGTGGAAAACGATCAGTGTTACAAAAAAACACAATTCCTTTTCAACCATGGATTATGGAAGCTTGGCTCGTTCAAAAATTAATAATTTTTTAAGGTACAGATGTCTTGTATTCGGTCAAAGTTAAATTTTCTGCGTTCGATGAAATCAAAAATTGGTTTTATTGATTCCTAGTCCTTGACGCAAGAAAGAACAGGTTTGAGAATGCTGTTGAAAATTTTTGGATTGTATTGAACAAGGTGATAAAAGGAAGGCAGATTGTGGCGCTATTTCCTGCGGTCTAAACACTATCCTATAGTACGACAATTTGATAAAAAAAATGTGCCCTTTTTTAAAACTCTCTTGGAAAATGGCACAATAATTGAACTTGCTCAGTTGATAATCATTACCAATTAGGTATACACATTTCTTACTTAAAGAATTATCTTTTTCGTCTTTTTAGAAGAGAAATTGTTAACATTAAAACATTTTTCATATAAGCCCTCTTTTAACTCGATCGTCAAAAAATATTTTTATTAGAGCAGTTTAAGAATGCTATCACTTCCAGGTTTGTTTGATCCTGAAATTTCTCAGTTACACGACCTCCGGGCAGTTATGTTTAACGCCTTCAACCTTCTTGTGGAGGGTTTTGAGAAAGTAATAACTGAGAATAGCGCGATTAGAGATTTAATTACATATCAAACTCACAGGGTACAAATAGCCTCTTACTGAATTTCGTGAGCACGCCCACTTCATCGGCCCACTCAAATCGAGTGCGATTTTTGGATGTTATATCATCTTGCGATGTTATTATCATCTATATCATCTTGATCTTATATCATCTCTGTATAAAAAGTTAACAATGTACCACCGAAATATTGAACTATAATATCATGGCTTTCCATTTTGTGTATATTTGTACTACAAAGTAAAGTCTTTCCCTCGTCATTTTCACCTTTTCCCGAGCGGGTCCGTCAAAATTAAGAAGGCGTTCGTGGTCAAAACAAGACCGAGCAAGGAGTCTTGGGCGATTTCTCTCTTGCACAAGCGCAAATTGAAAATGTACCGCCGAAATCAAAGAGAGGAACAAATTTCCTTTGTTTTGATATGTAAATTGTCGAACAAGGAGCAGATTGAACCTCGTCAAATGGCTAGTCAAAACAGCCACACCTTCCTCCTTTTGCTCGTTTCCTGTTTTATAAGCGTGAAAGCAGTGGGAGAAGAATCGGGTAGCTCGGAAAGCGCTTCACCATCGTTTACTTACGAGATAAACAAGTAAGATTTGTAAAGTTATTTTCCGAAAGAGTCGGAATAAATACATTTTTTTCAGGTTAGATTGCTGTTTTTACCCTAAACGTCGTCCAATAAATTTTTGTTGCAGCCTACTAATCTATACAATTTCGAAGGAAAATATTCAGATGCTTCACCGTCCCCGAAGGGGGTTCTGTCCTGGTGTACCGGTTCACAAGGGAATTACCATTGTTCTTTCTTTGTTTAGGAGTTATCGGTTAGCTATTGTGTATTGTTTGGTCTTTTGTATTGGCTCTTGTGAACCGGTACACGAGGACAGAACCCCGAAGGGTCTCCACTCATCGAAGCGTGTACTGTAGCCAATGTAGTGAATTTTCAGTCTCTTGTTGGGTTTGTCAACCTCCGTGACTTCAATATCATACAATTTTGTATCTTTTCTCTGTGAAATGACCTTTTTAACAGGGGTGTATGCTGAGTATTCGTTGCAGAATCGCTTTGGCTCTCTTATCTGTCTCTTTGGCTTGTCCGCCATTTTGAAAATTTGCTCAGGAGAGCATCTGGGTTAGCGGCCGCGCCAGGCTGGAACCGACAAAAACAAATGTTCATCGCAGTGGGGAAACAGTTTGATATGTAAGAGATATCTACCAGTTGAAAGCCAAAATTACGCTGAATTTTCGATGCGATTGACATAATTTTGATACTTTGAGGCCTAGTGCAACAAAACATGATTTGTTGCGTGCAAGAGACTCAGTGAGCTGTCGCAACTTGAAGCAACGCATCAGAATGCCGTAATTTTAAAGTTATTCACATCAGAACCTCGCAAGTAAGCTGCAACTTAAGAAATTGCAAAGAAAGAGCCTTTGACAATTTAGGCTTCGATATCGGGAATTTGAACATATACCTGCCAGATGCTAGCTGAGAGCTACGACGAGACATGACGGAGGCGTTGCAAAGTTTAGTGGCTTCTTTGTTCACGCACAGGAATCTGAACAGATTTAAAATTATGTATGTGAAATTTGTTGCTCAACGTTTGTCTGTTAAGCAGTTCATATTAAGTAGTGTTTGCAAAGTCTAGTGGCTTCTGTCTTTGTTCCCGCAGAGGAAATCGGAATCTGAACAGATGTAAAGTTATGTATTTGAAATTTGTTGCTCAACGTTTGTCTGTAAAGCAGCTCACCTTAAGGTTTCCCTGAGATCCTAATAAGAGGGTCTCAATGGGGGTGTAGCAAACACGGTACACGGTTAAAATTTTCGCGATTTCACGGTGCATAAAAATAAAAAAGTACCAAAAAGACCACATACATCAAATAATTGTTCAGAGGCTAGGAAAAGCTACAAACAACACGGTTATCTGGACAAAAATAATTCACGACACACGATTAATTTTTTCCCTTTTACACGAGACACGGTTAATTTTCTGGACGTTTCACGCCACACGCTTAACTCGCATTGAGACCCTCTAATAGCCCTTTTGATTACCCGACATTTTAACTGATTGAATGATATTTCTCAGTCTACCTAGTGGCAGTTAAAACCGCGAATGAAGACTGGGCCGGCACTGACGCTTCAGTTTACATCCGAATTCGAGGCTCAGAAGGAGGACCGATAGAAAGACAAATAAAAGGAGACTTCGAGAAGGATAAGTAATGATGAAATTTATTTTAATTACTACGATAATGATGCCGATAACAACGACAAAGAAGACGATGATGATATTGGTGTCAATATGATGATGATCGATCATATAATGATCGGTTAGATTAACTATGCTCCAAAACTTGAGCATTATGATTTTGAGCGTCACCCCTGAAAACAAGGCATCGTGCCGAAAAGTAAGCTAAAAGATTTTCATGACGCTCAATTTGATTTACAACAATAAAATCTACCATGCATGTGGAGAACAATATTTCATTTAGACTGCTGTGCTAACTTTGCTTGATCATAAAATATCTAGCTTTGATGTGATATTTTTAGTATCGATTACATCATTTTTCCTTTCACAACTTATAGAACTTCAATCATTGATGTCAACGATTACGACATTGGAAAAGTCACGGGGATGGAGATCAAACGTGATAAGAGTGGGCTTGCACCAGGTTGGAAACTTGAAAAGGTAAAATGAGTGTTAAACCGAAGAGATGCAAACGGCTTGAAGTTTCACAGCGTATTTGGGGGGCAAACAAGTGATCAAAACCAATCCGAGGGCCGCAGAAGTCAACCAGCAGACTCCAACTTTTTCAAATCAAGCCATCAAGTGTAGGGCACAGAAAAATGAATTCTCCATATGATCTTTGACTGTTGATATATTACACTTTTTCAGTGTTTGTTAAATGTCAAGTTGAAATGTTGGTATTTTAGCATTTTCGCATGCTACAAAACCGCAGAAGTGTAACTTTAAAAATCATATTCCGCACTGAGCTGCTTCTTTAGCTGTTTAAGAGAATGAATCACGAAAAAAAGGAGTTTCACCTAATGATTTATTTCGGCAAAGTGTGTAAAAGGGTTAGCTTTGCTTGAATCATCCCCAATTTTTTTCCCGGCTAGGAGGGCCGTTTTCAGCAGAAAATACTCATTTGTAGATTAAGTGATCTCTCTATTAGACAAAACAAGTCAAGTTGTGAAAATAAAGTCTGAAAAAAAAAATCTGTCAACTGTCTTCGCGATCACGACTGCTTGATGTGTCTATGTAACCGTGAAATCATTAATCCTTAAAATCGTTTTTAGTTCACATGATGTACTCCTGTGGCATATAAAATTCACTGTAGAGTTTCTTCCTTTTTAGATCACTATCCAAGTCCAGGGTGCCATAGATAGTATCTTTAACTACAACAAATGGCTCCCCAAAAACAAGTGGACAACATTAACCCGTAAGTAACTGTTCTACTCACCTTGTGCGTTGCTGAGATTTTTTTAATGAATATTGATCAGTCAAGAGAGTTGTTTGTAGGACTAAAATTCGGAGCACAAAATTGGTTCGTTCCTATACCCCTGGGATAAAAAGTAAAATGGGTAAGTTTTTTTACTCTAGGATTTGGAATAAGGAGTAATAGCGAGGGTAAGACTGCGCATGCTTAAAGGCTCAGTAGTTTGCTGGAATTATTGGGAAATATTAGCGTTGGACATCTAAAAAAAAAACAACGTGCTTTTTTTATGAAAACGCCGTCAGGGATGGGTCGTTTTAATTTTCACGGGGGAAGAAGTTTTCAAAAACTGCCAAACTACTCCTCTAACTTTTTACAGTTAGTTTTGAGGTTTAACAATTTGGTGGGAACAAATGTTTGCGATTCGAAAAAAATTGAAATTTCTGCTGAGAACTAAAGTTTTCCAGATTTCTTATTGAAGCAACGGAACACTGACAAAGAAGATAACGGAATATCGTCAAATTTCCGAGTTGTTACGTAATTCAGAAGAGAAACTATTTTTTCAGAATTTTTTCGTTGGGCGGAAGCTAATTTTTCGGATCGATGACCATAAGCAAGATTCGCAATATTGCAGTGAGAACCCGCACAATTTTCATGCCACGAATGAAGACTCAACACTGTTCACTGCAGGTCAAAGAATTAATCAGAGATACTTTTAGTGGATAACTTTCCGTGATTTGAATTGTTTCTTGATGAGTTAATTCCCATCATTTTTGATAAGTTTGAATTGTCTTCTAGTCTCTTGCCCAAGTGGATTTAAAATAAATAAGGACAAAGGCTACTGTGACGGTAGGTAACACTTGAGCTAAATAGATGTTAACAGTCATCCCAATTTGTTAGCTGGGTTCCTTGTTCATCAGTTTTCCCACCTTTTAGATCACGTGACCTCCGTGAATCGAAATATTCTGTGTAATGGCAGTCGTTTTGGTTGTTTTGTTATCGACACGAACATTGCTAACGACAAGCTATTGCACTGCATGTTCAACTGTGGTAACGAGGTCTGCGGCAATAATCTTAGGAAAATTTACTTCAGGGTAATTTTAGTCCCTTGGTCATTACACAATTATTTCACCATTTTTGGTTTGTGCGTCAGCGTTTGTACTGCGTCAGCGTTCGTACTTTGCAACCCGAGCGATCGTATATGTTGAGACACGAGAGAAAGTACGACTAACATTGTAAATTTTTTATTTGAGCTTCAACCCTTGATCAAACCAATGAAAAGTGTCCATTTTCTGGAATATGGTGAATTTTAATTCGCCATAAAAAAACTTATTCAAATCATAATTGCTTTAAAAAACAATTAGGTTTTGAATGAGTTTTTTTCTTAATGTCATAGACACATTTTCAAATCGTTCATGATATTCTGGAGCAGTGACGGAGAAGTACAAAATTGCCCTGCAAATAAGAACAATCCAAAAACGAATAATGTATTGCAGTGGAGTAAGGGAAGGTTTGGATGGGGTTGTACAATGAAATCTGAAAACTCTGGCCATCATACAAGGTTTTTTTTCCTCTGGACAAAAATTTTTATTCGTGTAAATAATGGGCTCCTGTATACGTAGATTGTGGAACCAGTCGCAAACAGGCATTTCTGCTTAGCCATTCAGAAAAGCAGATTGGAGCTGATTCAATAGCACATTTTGATTGGTAATGATTTCAGTCGAAGATATAGATGAATGTAAGCAAAGTCCCCCCATTTGTGTCTACCCTGCCGAGTGCTACAACACCGCGGGCTCATACTACTGCCAATGTCCACCTGGTTACGTAAAAAAGGCAAATTCAAACAACGAGTGTGAAGGTAATGTAAAAAAAAAAAATTGTCTCTGTCTTGTACTAAGTTTTCAAAAACATTAAACTGGGCCTTATTATCCTGTTTTATCTTTCCAAACATTGCCTCGGAAATTCTCTTCAAATGGGTGAACGACTACGGCGCCACTGTTGTTTTTTAAAACAACTGAGTCATCTGGCCATATAAGCAGAGCCACATTGCATTGCACTGGCAATTTCAAATTACAATTAGTCTGAGTCAAGGTTGCCTTTTGGTGTGGGTCTCGATCGTTCAAACACCTTTAATAGTCGGAATGAAGAAGAAATGAGACAAGTGCGTCATGGGTCAGCGGCCAGGTTACATAGTAAATTTAAAGATGGCGCTGTCCCCAGTAAAATTATAGAATGGAAAGGTTTGGAAACGCTAAATATGGTTAGTTGTAATTTTTGTGTAGAATTATTCAACTGGGGAAATAAACTTCACAAAGGTTTCTGGAGGCTACCTACCTTTTACTTGTTCTTATCTGTTCGTTAGATGTGGATGACTGCAAACAGGGACAACCATGCGATCCAGTAACGTCGAAATCTTGTGAGAACACTCCTGGTGATTATAAGTGCATTTGCAAGGATGGCTACCAGAACTCAAATCCCAAGAATTGCATAAGTAAGAATCACATTGACAATACTCAAAACTGTGACGAAGTAATTCTCTATTGCACGTCAACATGTAGGTATAAATACTGTTAAATCTATTCCGTTTACTTATAAAAACTAAAGCAAGTTTAACAGTTGAAATTCAAGCAAGCGAAAACGAATCTCGAGTCACGTTCCCAGGTCCAAAAATCTCAACGAACCGAGAAGTACTACACGCCAAAGTAAGTTATTTTGACAGAACCAGGTGATGCCGGTAACGTAACACATAACGCAACTCTAAATATCTGTAACAAATACGCCTTTGTAGTTGGCCAGTGAAAATTGCCGCGCATCCGTACCCTGAATTCGCCCTTGGTACTCTGACATTTGCAAGTAAACAATTATTGATTCATCACACCGCAACAAAACGAAAACCAAATGCACTTTTCGTTTGATTCTGCGAAACTTACTTGCCGCGAAACAAAACTGGAAAATATATATATCTTATAAGACGTTTTGTTGTGTAGTATCGCTGAGTATTTTTACGAGTTGGGCCGTATTTTGACGAGCCCGTAGGGCGGTCCAAAAACAAACTACGAGTAAAAATACTCAGCGATACTACACAACAAAGCGTTTAATAAGAGATTTATTATCCAACAGGCCAAATCGTTATTTCAATGCGGGCGAATTTCGCGGATATTTCTGGAGTACTCGTCTCGCGCGTTATTTGCACTCTACGAAGCACATTTGGATAATAATTCTCTTTATTGAAATGAACACCTTCAATGGACTAGATGAAACTCTTTCATAGATTACAACGCACTCTATTTCAATTTTTTGAAACAGTATTTTAAAGTTCTTTCGGTGTCATTGCGTCTTTAAAGTAACTGGATGCGTATTTTGAGTAACTAGGTGCGTCTATAAAGTAACTAGGTGCCTGGAAAATATATATTGAGGCAAAATGCGATGTAACTTAAGTAGTAGAAGATCTGTCTTGGCCATGAAAAAGAGCTTTAAGTGTGTTGACTTTCTTATTTCTTTCATTGTTTGTCTTGTTTTGTTTTTTTCATCGTCATCAATCGCTTTTTTGTTTAGTTTTTTGTTTTGTTTTGTTTTTTTTTTTTTTCAGATATAGATGAGTGTTCCTCGGGTAATGATACTTGCAACAAGTCAGTCTCGACCTGTAAAGATGTCGGTGGAACCTTTTTTTGCGTCTGCAAGGAAGGATACACTCAGGGAGCAAATAACAAGATCTGTCAACGTAAGCTAACTTAAATAACTTCTCACACGATCAATAGCATCACCGAAAACATTACCAATCAGTTTTTACGAACCAGACAAATAATGCTCAACGAAGATGACTTCCGCTAGGGGTTTTGAACGTATTCATCAACAGTCCTTCTCAGTCCCAACTCTCACCCGGACGATTAGGCCAAACGATCAAACATTCCTATTATATGTTGATGAACATGACCAGTAATGAATAATTTTGATCAGGAATGTTGAAAAAGCAGTTTTCAAATCTGTTTAAATTGTACTCAAGATAAAAGGAGTATGGGTTGCCGCATTTGCTGGATTTCATGTTACTGCAAATTAATGCCGTTTACCGTTTTCGTTGCGACGGGCGGCGCTTATACGAAGGCGGCGTTTTAAGGTGAACAGCAGTAACAATCAATCAATAAGATTCTTACTTATTTGCTGTTGTAGTTTTCCGAGTTGCTCCGCACTTATCATTTTTTAGCTTTTTTTTTGTTTTATGGTTGATGATTGTCATTATTATTGTCATCGATATTATCAGTAACGTTGAACTCACCCTTTTTACATAAATTATTATTTCTTCTTGATCAAGTAAACACCAGATTATTCTGATTAGACGTGTTATTTAAGTCTGTGACTTCTCACTCAAATTTATTCCAATTCACATCCATAAAACGGATCACACGGGTCAAATATGGCCACAGTATCGTTCCAAACCTCATTTGTAACTGCTTCTGTAGAATCTGAACGCGGGAGATCTGGATGCAGTTTTGCTGACCAACAACGGTATTTCGCGCCATAAAGCAACACCTACCCCACCCCCTCCCCCATCTTCCTTTGAGAGCTAATTATTTCTATTTTTTTGTCCAAAAAAAAGCCGTCAAGTGCGGTGCCCTCAGTGTCCCCTCCAGAAGTAATCTGACACCACCAAGATGCGCTCAACTGGATTCTAATGTCTTTGGTGATAAATGCGTGATGACGTGCAAAGACGGTTACGTCCTTGATGATATCCAACACGGAACTCTTACTTGTAGCAAATCTGGCGGGTGGGAGGGAAACATGGGCACGTGCAACCGTAAGTTTAGGAAATCTTTCGTCACTTGATATTTCAGTCAGCCGTCTTTCTGCTCTATACTTTTTTTAAAATTGAGTTGTACTTGTGGAAGAAGTAGGGCTGAAATTTTCGTGATATGAACTCTGCATTCATGATGAAATTTTCGATATCGCTGAGGCTCACTGCTCATATCGGAGACTTTTTCCGAATGATGGAGGTCTCAATAAAGTTAATCGCAAGCCCCAACACGGCGAAAAAAAAAATCCCCCCCACCCTATCATTGAGGCCTTCCTAATCACGCAAGATAACACGAGGAGGGTGGGAACCCGGCTGCCTTCCTTTCTCATCTTTACCTCGTTTCAATTTAAGCGAAAATTGAAAAATATCCTCCGCTAGAGTGGAAGTGTTTAGTGGTTGGTGCAAAGTTGGTCGAAAAAAGTGTAATGTACCAAAAATTCTATCTTGTCCGATCACATGTTTCTGTATTGGGCGGAGGGAGGGCCTAAAAGAGATAAAACCGTGTTAGAAATCAAATGTAAAATAACTTAGTAGAAGCAATGAATACGAATTGGTAACGACTCCTCTCCTCTCCTTGGCAAAAAATAAGAAACCGATTCGACATATTCATTTAT